AATATGTTCTGGGGACCACGAGTCAGCAACCTTGTAGGATCTAGGCTCATGTTCACCCAAGGACTCAAGGACAGCTTTCCTTCTGGAGCACAGGATGATCAGTTCATCCCCCCCTTGCATGTAGGGTGGAAATTCAAGGAGACATCCTGAGATCTTTTTTTCTTTTTCTTTTTTTTTTTTTTTTTTGAGACAGGGTTTCTCTGTGTAACAGCCTTAGCTATCCTGGAACTAGCTCTGCAGACAAGGCTGTCCTTGAACTCACACTCAGATACTTTTAAATGGAAAGTATGAGGTCCTAGAAGAGACTCTCTGGTCTTTAGTGACAGAAAGACCCATTTTCAAAGGTACAAGGAACCATGCTGGTTTGCCCAGCCTTTCCAATACCCAATACACTTATGATAGCCCCTCTGTTTAGGAGAACGATGGGTAAGTTTTTTTTCAATTTCAATATGTCTTGTCTTTTGTAAAATGGAGATATTAGTAGCTATGTTTAGCATTCTCATGAGGATTCCAGGAGATAATTCATGTACAGTTTGGCTCCATTCAGACTAGGCAATAAAACACTTGATAAATATGAACTGCCTTCCTTCTCTTAGTTTTTGCTATTGTCTTGTAATTATGCAATTTGTGAGATTTCAGATTGGTGGTTGTTGGCTTGACATTTTGGCGTTTTCCTCAGAGGAAACTTGACTCTCGAATTGGTCAAATCCATTGTCCTAGTCCATCCCAACCCCTCCCCGCCTCCCGTCCCCACCCCTTACCTCCCTCCACCCTTCCCGCATTCCTGTGCAGTTGGTCTTATTTATTTTTCAGTCAACTAAGGGTGTTGTTAGAGCTCTTCTTTTTCTGCTGCCTGGTTTGATGTGAGGAGCTCCCACTCCCTGCCCCGCTCACGACAAGAATGCCTGGGAGTGCTCAGCCAACCATGTCCCACCCCTACTGGATCTCCCTGTCCTTAACACTCAGCCGAGAAGGCACAAGCCCTGCCTGTTCCACAGTTTCTCCCCACTGCCCTCTGACCCTTTAAGCCCCTGGTGATAATGGGTCTGTGGTCCAGAAAAGGCTGGGGGTGGGGAGGCAAGGCGTTTGCGGCGGGGAGTGACGCTTATTGCCCGTGACTATGCTTGAAAAGAATATGAAGATGCTTCCTCTGACGGGCTGAAGGCTGGGTGACGAAGCCGGGAAGCCACCGGCTAATTGATGTTGTTCATAGTTTTTGTTGGAGTGATTTGTTTAGAACTTTGTGCCCCTTTTGGGCCTTAGCTCATCATGTACTATTCACAAACTGATGAGGAATGAGGGCACCATGTTATTTGGATTAGAGAAGAAATCACACCTTGAACATCACAGGTCCTCTTTCTTCCTCCCGGGACCTCAAAGCCCTCGGTAGGGCATGAGTGAGCTTTTCCAACCTGGTTGGCTATAGGTATGGCTAGACTCATTGCTGAGATAGAAAAAGCCATGGTCTAGGGACTAGAGCTTTTCGTCCAGACTAGATGTTGGGCATCTGTGGGAGCGGCTGGACTGAGACTGGGGATGTCTGTGCTAAGTCTCCACCTTCGGTCTCCACCTCCTGCTCAAATACCCTGGCTTACAGAAGTCAACCATTTGAAGAGTGGTTTGGGATTGGAACATCACCCAACAGTCCCTTCTCCACCCTTGTTCATCTCTTTTCTGATCTGAACCCAGGCTGGCTGGAGGCCGGCCATATCATTCTGCAGACCTTGAATACCCTCAGTGCCCTTGCAAACCAGTCAATGGAAAAGTACAAAGTCTTCTGGCTCTCCGGCCCTGCCAGCTCCCACTGGCCTATTTGATCCCTCCTTTTCTTCCAAGGGAGTGGGAGGATAGCCTCAAAACTGAAAGTACAGGGTTTTCTCTCTTTTTTTTTTTCTTTTTTTATAGGAAAACAAATTGCCATGAAGCTGAGACAAACCAGCTCAGGCTGTCTGGGCAGATGCCTTTCTTTGCTTTTTTTTTCTGTTTATTTTCTAACAAATCAATGCTTAACTGCATTGTTATCGGAGTAGAGCAACAGGTGCAAGAAAATAATCCCACTGCCAACTCAAATGAAGAGGGAGGGCTTATCCCCTCTGGGAGGTATTCAGAAGATAACAGAAGCCCCTGCCAACAACTGAATTAACAGCTCTGTGGACGGTGGGTTCTGTGTGAACAACCCAGTCCTAACCCTCCGACACATAAACCCGCCATTGTCTTGGGAAGAGAGTTTCAGTCATGCAGACAGCCGGCTGCTTCATTCTGCCCCAAGTGGAGGTTGTTTTGGCTGAGGCGGCTTTGTGAAACTCAGGAATTATCCTGTGCCAAGTCTATGTCTTACTGAGGGTTTTCTCAGAGGCCGAGGGGATGGGGTTGCTGCTGAGAAGAGGAGCTGACCTGCTTTTTAAACTGGTTGAAATTCTTTCTGTGGCTACGTCTCCCCAAATACCAGAGAGGGTTGCCTGGCATTCTCTGCTCGCACTCCATTACCAAGGAGATGAATGAGCTCAGGGGACTCTGGAAAGATCTGCTATTGTTTTGGAAGTGTGTCTCGGCTGATCATCTCTTAGTGCAGGGCGGCATCTGTGTTTTGTTCGCTATCTTTGTTTTTCCCACACCAAGCAGGATGCAGTGCATCTAGGATAGATGTTAATTGGAAGGGACCAGTACATATTTGTAATAGTTGAACAAGCATTTCTCAGAGATGGTTTCTTTCCTCTGAAGGCTGATTCATCAGTTTTGAAGGGTGTAAGGCTTAACACCTAGGCGGTTAAATAATCTTTTAAAAGTGGAGGTGGGGCTAGGTCAAGTCAAGGGTCACCGAACCGGTCACAGGATCCTTTTGAAGCAACACAACAACCAACAAACATAAGGGCCACCTGGAAATGCGGGGTCCCGGGGCCAGAGTATTTTCTTAGTCTTTATTTATAAGTAACTAGACGCTGTTGAATGTGGCGGTTTGGGGGTCCTGAGCATCAGAGGCTGGCCTTTTGACAAACAGTACAGCAGTAGGTTCTCCATAGACAGATTGGGGCTTGAATCCTCCTGCTGGAAATTTTCGTCTCCCTGGCTTTATAAGGACTGTTTTCTTGTTTGAGGCTTTCCTGTCAAGGCTGATGTCTCTAGGAGTTAGTTACCTGTGGTGAGAAATGGATGTAAGAGCAGGTAAGAGAGTCTACAGACCAGACAGTTTCAGCTGTGAGGACACTCAAGCGTTCTAACAGAGGGGCTCGGGAATACAGGTTTTGGTTTGGAGGTTTGGGTAGGATTCCATGCGGGTTGAAGTTCAAGCCATCCTTGGGTGGTGAGCATGCCTTGGGGGATCAGTCCCAGTTTCTCAAGGGAATTTGGAAGGCGATTGTTGAGGCAGCCATGGGGTGCGCCTGTCTCTGCATCTGTCAAGGTCCATTCAAAAACGCAGTAGGGGTGAGGTTGTGTCTTTACTCTGTGTCCTTCATTTGGCTTTGAAGTCCAGAGGGGGCCATAGCGAGGAGACAGATTTTTGAGGTTCAGAGGTAGTAAGGAAAAGAGTGAATTCTTAGAAATGATCATCTTAGGAGGTGACATGGTTCCTACTTCATATGCCATTCGAGAGAGACAGTGGAGCCTTTCCTGGTCCCAGTGGGAGGCACCAAGGTGACACCAAAGCCAGGTCAGAGAACAGGGCTAAAATCTCACAAGCCTTTCAGGGATGGCAGGCACCAGCCTTAGCTCTGATAACCTGTCTCTAGCATAAAGTTTTCCTAAAATTCTAATCCCACGTAAGCGTGGAGCTTTATTATTTGTTTTATACTAACTTGAATGTTGTCCACGATGACTATACCGGTGTCAATCAATCTGTGGGCGTCAGCAGCTGCTCCTTCGAGGGTCTGTGGTCCACAGGACAGAGGTGTCGCAGCAGACGCACATGCACATTTTTGGTAGAAAGAGAACAATCGCTCTCTTGAAGTCTCAAAGGCTCCGTGATCTTTTGAGATTCAATCTAGTTTATAATATCCGGATGAAATGGACAGAGGCCCTGTGGGTTATTCCAGGTAATCTTGTTTTGATCAGTTTTGGTACCTGCCACTGTCAGTATGTGCCATCTTGTCTGGGCCTGGCACCGAGGCCGATAGGGATCAGCATGATCTGTCTATTTCCCAGTGGCCTACGGCCAAAAAGGTGTCTCTACCATAGAGCCAACCTCACCCTCCCCATATTGATGTTATTGATCATGAAAACACTCACTATCACAGGAATATACTTCAAATGTTGTCCCTGGAAACAAGAAATGTCTGTCTCAAAACAAGGAGGAAGATAGGAAGTTAGCTCTGACATAACTGAAGAGGGACAGAGACATTCTCCACGTTTGGATTCCTTTACAAAAGCACAAATTATTGCCTGTATTCTATTCAACTCCAGTTCACAGGGCCATGCACTTTCTTGTCTCCTGCTGGGGAGCAGTCCTTTGAAAGAACAGTCAGATGGCAGCAGGAAGTCAGAAAGCTGTTGCGACATCTTTAGCACAAACATTGTGAATTCACCTGCTGGCAGTTTTGAGTAAGGATGGAGAAGGTATGGCTGTTGCTGTCACAGAACAAGTAATTATTTAAAAGGCTTAATTGCTTTCCTGGCTTGGGAAATAAATGTGTCCCATGGCAACCAGTTCTGTGGCAATGGGAAGAGCATGTGGTTGACTGAGGAAGGAGAGAGCTGTGAAGGAGTTACATCGTGGCCTTGCCTTGCAGTTCCTGGGGCTGAGGACAGGGAATACCAAAACTAACCCTGATGGGAATCTGCTCCATAGTGCTGGCTGTTCTTCGAACACTTTCCACCTGTGATAGGAGGGAATTATACCCTTTGGCCTGGGATCTAATTCAGGGACAGCACCAATAATTATGGGCCAACTTATTTCTCAAATATTAAGTTGAAAATAACTCCAGGAATTATCAAGGAGGTTAGTTATATCATACAGGTATACAAACATATATATATATATACACACACACATACAAGCACACATATATACATACACATATATGTATATATTTATTGTACATTATAAGGCAGTTCAGTGGTGTTGGAAATGCTGTGGCCACATATGGAGTGGTACTGTGGGTGCAAATGACTTGAGGGGTACTCTAGACTCTTCTGAACGTTATTGTTAGACTGATGTTGAATTTTAAGTTAGTCACAATCTTGTTGAATCCCGTGATCTTGAACAAGTTGCTGAACTGCTCTAAGCCTCAGTAGGTCACCTGCTAGATGGCATAATGCCTCAGAGACTTATGGAAATCCTCAGCATCCACCTGGGATAATGTTTTCAAGACTTTTAGCACATAGCTGGCACATTTGAAATATTCCCAAAGTTTAATCACTATTATACAATAAAAATGGCGAATTTTGCAGCGTTTGTTGTTTGCTGGGAGTCCTACCACTGAGCAAAAGAAAGACCCGCTTCTAGCTGAGCAAGTCCATGTTTGCCTTGTTTGTCTTTCCTGGTTCTCTGCCAGCTCTCCAAGAGGGGCCAGTGGAGCAGTCCTTGGTCTTGTTAGGAGTCCCGAGGCTGGGAGAACTTCCTGTGTGATACAGGGCTTCATTACCCTCTCAGAATCCCAAAGCTGTCTCCTTCTTTTCTTTTTCTGTCCCTATACCCCAAGTTTCAGGGCCCAATCTTTGGAGTCCTTGCGGTATCCCTGTATGAAGGAACCCACGGGACAGAGAGCCCCGTGGTCACGCTTTGTTACAGCCAGGCTGCTCTCCCATCTATTACTGCCCCAGCACAGCAGCCATGGGCTGTGGGCAATGCAAAACCTGTGGTCACACAGAGCTTGGGAATGCGTGCCCTTCCGCTGGGCTTGGCAGCCTCAGGCACTATGTGGTTGGGGAGAGGTGAGGGACCTGGTGGGGTGGAGTGGTGGTTTCCAGTCCTCCAATAACAAGACTTCTGCAGCTGTGGAGAATAAGCTTGGTTAAGGCTTGGCTGCTCTGGCAGCTGGAACCGGAGAACTGTGCAGATGACAGAGATCTGAGGCTCTGCTTGAAATGAATTTGGTTCTCAGTTTACTCCGTGGAGGTTCAAAAATGACGAGGCTGATGATTGCTATTAATGTTATCATTATACAAGCCACCCGATGTTTATAAAGTGTTTATTATGTGTTCAAAACTGTCCTAAGCACGTATTAGTTCATTTTTTTTTCACTCAAAAATTCTTTTCCGAATATCCTCACTTCATAGATGGGGAAACTGTGGTCTGGAGAAGTTAAATGAAGTATATAAATTTGTCCTGTTGATAATCTGGCAAAGCCAAGACTTCAAATATGGCCACCAGGCACTCTAGCCAATGGCTCCCAGACTCTTACACTGTTTTGCTTCTGAGGAGTCTAATAATACCCCAAGAATATCCCCAAAGCCAGCCAATTTCCAGCTTGACGAGAGGTTTCTGGGTCAATCCTATCTTTAGAGCTAATGAGTATTGCACAGCAACATGTATAAGCCTTGAGTCTGCTCTGACCTTTCTTATTTACTTTTGTAACCTCGACTTTTTGCCATATGGGGAAAGAGAGGCTGTAAATAAGATAATACTTCTCCATAATTAACATGGCCATAAACATCTCAGCCATTTTGGTACATGTCATGGTCCTTGGCATTTTAAGACTGTCCTGCAGACCAGGCAGATTGAAATGAGTTGAAATCTTTTGATACTCATGAACTTGTCCTTCGAGCTCAGCTCCGGGGTGAGCCAGTCTCTGTGGCTAGACCTTGCCTTCTCCCATGTGCAACAAAAATCCAAGACTTAAATTTTAGAGTCAGGTCGAATGCTCCTTGTTCTCCTCCCTATATTTCTCTCAAGTGGTCCAGTCTGAAAGGTGACTGGGCTGCACCTCTTCTGGAAGAGAAGGGAGCCTTTGATGAAGGCCTAGACGAAGAGTGGTCCCAGGGCATTGTGGAAACTTAGAAGTAGCCTCTGTCTTGGCATTTTAGGAGGTTGTGTTGTTTTCCTTAAATCGCTCATTGAGACAGCGATGGACACAGGAGCCTGTCTCTCCTGCAAAGATAAAACGATTGCAACCCAATCCACCGCAGCATTTTCTTTCTGCAGAATTAAGTCCTGGGTTGGCTAATTCCCAGTGGCCCGTGATTCTCAGAGAAGCTGACAGCTCATTACTTGTAGGAAACTTGTTGCTGATTATCCAGCCGGTCCCAACTAGTCCCAACTGGTCACCTAGCATGAGGTAGTTGTCTGGGTTTTACTCTGAGGGTAACATGGCTGGCACTTTCCTATAGGTAATGTATAGACTTTTGTCCCCTAAACTGTCATGCTTATCAACTTCTGCACAGAGTGGTGTCATTTTGGGTAGAAAAGTCTAGATTATCAATAAGAGCACAGATGAATATTCTTCTCTCTCCTTATCCATACCTATGAAAAAGGAATAAGAGACTGAAGATTGTTTTTATCCCTATATAATTTACATTTTATTTCACTCCTAAAGTATGAAATAAAATTTACTGTGGTATACTATAGTTTTTAATAGGCCAAGCCATAATTTATGTTTTTATCTCAAGTTAAATGTACTCTAGAACCAGGCTGTGCCTAGGGTACCTGGTGCTTCTTCTCAACCACTGATTAGCAATGGCTTTGTGTGCCAGGCTTGGTTCTGTAAGATCACCTGTCCCTGTTGTGTTTAATCCTCAGTGAGCCCATGTAGCCAGGAGAGATACTGCCTGCTTCTCAGGATAGGAAAGAGCAAATTAGAAAGGTCTAGATCCAGCCCAAGGTTCCATTCCAGCAGAAGAGCACCAGCTGCCACCTCCACAGGCTTTAGTTTGAACCACAGTTCTCAACCAGGGGTGACTTTGCTCTAGGGGACACCTAGGAGAGATCGATAGATGATAGATAGATAATAGATAGATGATAGATAGATAAATGATAGGTAGGTAGGTAGATGATAGATAGATAGATAGATAGATAGATAGATAGATAGATAGACAGATAGATAGACAGACAGATAGATAGAGCTTCTGGCATGTGAGATCTAGTGGGTAGAAGCCATGGGTGCTGCTGGATACCTTACCTGTATGTGACAACTTCCACACCAAAGAATTTCCCAGTTCTTCCTAAACTCCCATGTTTCTTACAGCAGTATTGACAGTACCCAAGATATGGTCCATTGAAAGATGAATGGGTAAAGAAAATGAGGTACATATGTGCACCAGACTAATATTCAGCCATGCAGTGAATAAAATATTGTTATTTGTGGCAATGGGAATGGAACTGGAGGGCATCATGGTGAATGATAAAGCAGACATAGAAAGACAAACACTGAGTACTTACTCCTACTCCTTGGTGGCAGGTTAAATAATGATCTCATAGAAGAAGAGAGAATAGTGGACGTTAGAGGCTAGGAAGGTGGAGAGCAAGGGGGTACAGTAAAAAGGGCGGTAGGTAGCAAAACGCAATTAGAGGAAGAATTAGTGCCAGTGTTTTTCAGAACAATAGTGTAATCATAGTCTGCAATCGTTCAGTAAATATTTCAAAACATCTGGGACAGAAGTAATCTAAACACAAGCAAATGACATTCCAGAAATGAAAAAATATTGATCCTATATTGTATACATGTATGAGTGTCAAACTGCACAAATATTAGGCCTTAATTAGAAATTTCAAGAAAGAATTATTTAGCCCCTACAATTTTGATTGTAGGGATGTTGAGAGGCTGCGATTAGCCACTGTCTGGCATGATGAGGATCTGGTCCTTGGTGCCTCTACCATGACCCCTGACAGCACCATCAGCATCCCTCAAGCTGAGGATGAGGAGACGTGGGCCCTTTCTCCAGCTTGCTTCATACACATGGCACGGAATGCCGCTCTTAGCCCTGAGGTGCAGAGCCAGTCCCAGCAGAGGTGACGAGTGTTGTGGCCATGCCCTGACATCTATGTGTAAAGAACGAAAAGGCTACTTTTATATTGGGGAGTGGACATGCCGTGCACTGTACTGGACACTTCTAAAGTCACTGTGTTATCCTCCAGGACAGCTCTCTTTGCACTTAGTCAGAGTCCCTCATCTCTCACCATCCCAGTCTGGGAACGAGGTACAGATTCAAAGTCACAGAGCTGGGGAATGAGCCCGGAGCCTACCTGGGGTCCTGCAGGCTCTAGCTGGACTCGACTGACGACTTGTTTTTTTAAGGAAAGCTTTGCTGAAGGTTAAGTAGGGAGCTGAAATCAAGTCCTAAATATTCCTTGCTCCTCCTTTTAATTAAAAGGGTAGCTCTTTACACCCCATAAAGCAATCAGTGTACAGCACGGAGAGTCTATATTAGTATACGGGGGTGTGGGTACGTTGGTCATAATAGGACTTTTTTATAGTTCCCAAGGCACATTTATTATCCATTATCTCATTTGATCTCCTCAACCGTCCCGGGAGTCTGTTGGAGGACAAATGTCTGCATTTTCTATTTGAAAAGCTGGGAGTAGTAGGCTGGTCCAAAGGCCTTGGCTAACCCAGTCCACCCAAGGTGCCTCCTGCGGCTCCCTGCGGCGGCTGTCAGGGTCCAGGGCCGGCTATACTTACAAGCCTGGGGGAGCTCCTGTGAACTCTGACTCACTAAGGGTTAAGCCACATAAACTCTTTTATGGGTGGTAACCATTTAATGGGCCCTGTAAAAAGGGCCCCTCACTATGCTGCCTGCTTTCCCCTGGAAAGGGGGTGCTGGCAGGGTGGAGGGCTTGGGAGGGGGTACAGGGTAGGAGGTGACAGGACAGCGGAGACCCTGACATCCTAAAGGCTTCTCTGTGAGTTGGGAATAATTAAGAAAGTTTCCAGGAGGTTGCATTAAGAAATGACACCTGCCCAGCTAGAGCCCGAGTGCTGGCGGAGACACCTGCCAAATTCCTGTTTTAAATGTTCTTACCCTTCTTATTATTAAAAATATTTTTAGATTTATTTATTTTGCTTGTTTTATGTGTATGAGTGTTCTGCCTACATGCAGGTATGTGCACCTTTGTGTGTCTGGTGCCCAAGAAGATGAAGACATCACATTCCCTGGGTCTGGAATTAGGGATGATTGTGATCTACCATGTGGGTGGGATCTGAACCCGAGTCCCCTGCAAAAGGGACAAGTATCTCACCAACAGAGCCGCTTCTTAGCGACAGCTCTTATTAGGTAGGACCTCTGAAGATCTTGACGTAGTTAGTGCCAGGCAATTCTTCTCAGGCTTTGAGTTTCCTGATATACCCATTTTTCAGTGGAGAAAGTGAGGCTCAGGAAATCTGGGGCCAGACAGATACAGAACTTCGCATCATCTACAGAGAACCAAGGAACTAGAGTTTCATTTCCTTCCGCAACTCAGAAGAGTGGGGCAGCCCTCAAACGGTCTGCCTCATACCTATGCCTTTTCTTAGGAGGTGGAGAACAAAACCCTGACCTGGCTAAAAGGGAGGCTCCTCCTGGATCCTGCGGGTCTCCATCCCCACCAGCACACCCACTTTGAAGCAGCCCTGCAGGCAAGTTCTTGGGAGGCCTGAGCCTGCAGCAGGACTGTTCTCTCCAGCAGGGCTGGGCTCTGAGCTTCAGTCCTCTTGGGGTTAAACAATAACCTTTCCACTGCTTGTGGGTGAGCAAATGCTGCCAAGGAAGAAACCCAGCCTTGAGCAAACATAAGCCAGGGCCCGGCCCTGTCCCTCCCCAGCTGCCAAGTCCCCCCATGGATGAATTAGCTTAGGGGGATTGTTTTGAAAAAAGCCCAATGTGAAAGTGCCTCCATTACTGTGTGAAAGGAAGGTTTGGCCTGGTTGGTTTTTCTTCCCTCAAGGTGAAAAGAAAAAAGTTTGCTAGAAGGGGGCTCAAGAATCTTTTAACTTTTCAGACTGAGAAACGGAGGCCCGGGGTTGTTTGGAGCCCAGCTTATCCACAGAGGTAGCATTTCCCCCTTAATTGTTAGACGTGTGCCAAGTGCTGCTAGTATAGAAATGTGTTTGTCTCTAGTGTCCAGGAGAGACGTGACCGTCTGCATTTTCACACAGGGGAACCGAGGGCCAAGAGATGTTGATAACCCATGTGAGCTAGCAAGTGGGAGAGCTTGCAGGAATCCCAGCTCTCCCGTGCACCCTCCACAGCCTCCCTTACCTGACTTGATCGCCTGTCATTTCTACTCGGCCTTTCTTTCTTCCCTTTGCACTCACGCTGGGTGCAAGCCTCCATGTTCACCCGGCAGCAGTGATGTTGAGGTCAACAATTACAAGTGGTGTCTAGCCCAGCTGAGCCCCCAGGTGCTGCTCTGTTCTCAGAACCTTATAGACGACAGCACCTAGCCCTTCATCCGGGTGATAAATATTTGCTGCATATATGAATTATGAATATATTATATACTTTCCAAAGATTATATATCTTTTCTCTCAGGTTCTACATAGAACCAACCAGAGGAGCTGAAGCTCAGTTAGGTGTGTGTGAGTGTGTGTGTGTGTGTGTATGGAATTACTCTGAGGGGACCATTCCAATCTGTTGGCATGGATGACACCTGAGAATGCAAAATTCCTTCAAATAGGACGAAAAAGCATCATGATCTGTAGTTTTCCATACATCACCATTTTATAAAGAACAGGGGTATTGCTTCTCAGGCCTTTTGGCTAAGATCAAGTGTGAAGAATGAGAGACTTTTACAGCCTCACTATGTTCAGAAAAAAAAAAAAAAAAACCCTGCTCTTGCTTTGATGATTGCACACACTCCCAGACTCTGACCCGTAGTGTGGAGGGTATCCAGTTTGGGACAAACACATCATAAATGGCAGGGAATTTTTCTGAGATGTAAAATTGTTACATTGTTCCAAAGTTCCAGAATCTGAGGAAGTCACCTTGAGGATGGCTTCAAGGCCTGTTGAATTTTCCAGGTCTCCATCAGAAGAAAAACTAGATATAACTTTTTAGCAGAACATAAAATCTTAGTTTTCTGTACCAAGAAGATGAAGTGTCTGTCACAAAAAAATCAAAGGATTCCTAATCGTAGCCCAAATCCAAAGGCTTAAAAAGCCCTACTAAGGCCTTTAATCCCAGCATGTGGGAGGCAGAGGCAGGAGGATCTCTGTGGGCTCGAGGCCAGCCTGGTCTACAGAGTGAGTTCTAGGATATCTGGGGGCTTTTACACAGAGAAACCTTGTCTCAAAAAAGAAAGGAAGAAAGAAAGAAAGACAAAAAAGAAGTTTTACTAAGATACGATGAGGTTCAAAGAGGACTCAACAGTGAGGAAGTCTTCCTGTGTCCCCAAGCTTGGGGCCACTTATGTGAGGACTCACAGGGGCATCTGACATAGGGACTGAGCCTGAGATTTCCCCGATCGCGACTCCACTTCACATACGATCCCTCTGGCATTTTCACTTTTGTGAAGCGCTTGGACACTGGCCAGGCTTGCCCTGTGAGCAGGTATTGTGTTTTCTTCCCCGCTTCGTTTCTGATCAGAGATTATTCATTTATGAATGGGTGGCTATAAAAACTTGCCTCATGCATATGAAAATTGAACCTGGAAAATTTTAATTGCCATGAGTTTTGCTTTTACTGAAAGGGCTGTGGCAATGGGTGGAAGGACACGTTCCTTCCTCCCTCTCTTTCTTTCTGTCTTTCTTTCTTAATGAACTCCATGTTGTGGACTTGCCAGCAAGTGTCTAAGGGGCACTGATTAGATGACTGTTTGATCCCTTGCAGATCATGATTCTGGAAGGAAGTGGTGTAATGAATCTCAACCCAGCCAACAACCTTCTCCACCAGCAGGCAGCCTGGACGGACAGCTACCCCACATGCAATGGTAAGGGCCCTGCAGCTGTTGGTTGCTGGTGGCACTGCCCGTGTCTATCGTCTCCTGGTCTGACTTCTTTTCCAACTTAATGCTTGAAAAGTAGAGGTTTTACTCAGTGATGACATGGAGGCTAGGGACAAATCTCACTCTCTTTCCCTCCTTTCTCCAGGTAATTCAGTGCGTTGTTTATCACAGACTTTATCACTGATTTATACTTTCTTATATGAGAAAACTTTCAATGCTGTTTGCCCTGTAGTCCTCCAGGCCCCTATGGCAGAGACCATTTGAGAAAGATCACTGCCTCCTTCCAAAGTGCAAAGATTTGGGGTTGGCTCTAGAGGTGGTGGATGAGATGTCCCAAGGGAAGGGAGACATATTGTTGAAGTTTTCAATAGTATTTCATTAGGATATCAAGATAGAATCAAGAAGGTGAGCGCATACATGAGTACACACATGCGTTTAACACCACACACACACACACACACACACACACACACACACACACACATACACGGGTTAAAGAAAAAAGGGTTATAATAGTTTAAACTTTGTAGCTTATTTCCCATCACATCCCAGTTTAAGGAAGCGAGATTTGTCAGGGAACCCCGGTGCCAGCTTTCACTGCGTTACTCTGGAACATATGGACTCCAGGCGGGAGGACCTGGTGGTATGCAATGGTTGGTGATCCAGCCTGTGGCTCCCAGGAAAGCTGAACCAGGGGCTCCAAGCCTGATAGTGAAGGCATTCAGCACAGCCAGGCTGCTGGGTGTCCAACAGTGCTGGTTTAGAAAGCTCAGGGCACTCCCACCTGCTGCCAATTACTCCCCCTTCCCCCAGCCGCTGCTGCCCGTGTTTACCTTGACACACAGACATGTCCTGTTAGAGACCAGATTGAGAAGTGGGGGTGAGCGTAAAAGGCAGGTGACATTCTCTGCCGAGTGGCGGGTCCACGTGGCACTCCTCTTTTAGTTTGGCATCCCAGCCAAGCATGGCAGGAAGTTTGAAACAGGTGGCCTTCCTGTTTTAAATCACTTGTCTCCTAAAACTGCTGCCCTTTCTGGACAGTTGCATAGTCTGTGACAGACCTTGAACTTGCCGTGAAGGCCTAGAAAAAAAAAAAACAATCTTCCAAAGAGAGCCGGAAGTCTTGGCATGTGCGCCCCAGGCATCGGCTCTACTATTTGCTTTGGAGAAAAGTGGAGCAGTGGACTGAGCAGGGAGCAGAAGCTGCCCGTAGTAATCAGGTTACCTTGAGTGGACGGGGAGAAGGCCCTCGGTCTGCCACTGAGCTCACAGCTTACTTGTTACAGAGCCGAAACCTACCTAGTTCTCATGCTCAGCCAACGTCGTGTGTGAGATACAATGATAAAAAATGGTAACAAGGACCAGAAGCGACCAGCATAAGCTCTGTATTGGGGGAGGGTTTCTATAGACCTCAAGTGTTGGACCACTCCACTCTCCCGTGTAGGAGGGGCTAGGGGAACGCACTGCTCAGCTGTGTGGTGGGAGCAATGAAACTCACCGGTGAGCCCCAGACAGCAAAGACGGTCCCCTTGCCTTCCTGCCTCTTCTTGATTGTGAGGTCTGGAAGCAAGGCTAGATTCTAAAGTGGGAGAAAAAGTGAGATTGCCTAAGACCCTCCCCCCTCCCCCTTCCTATCCCTCCTCTGGTAAGATAGAGGGTTGGCTCGGAGGCATTATGGGAATGGAGAGTCCTGAACGTCCCTGTCACTCCATAGTCCAGCAGCAGCAGCATGGCAAAGCTTGCTAGGAAGGCAGAAGTTCAGCCTTAGCCCAGACTTCCTGGACTGGGGTCTGCATTTAGGCAGTAGTCCCTAGCGATTAACGATTATAGTCACACTGAAGTTTTGCTGTTGTTTGTTTCTTTTGGGGGGGGGGCAATACGTTTTTT